AAGGGCTCATTCACACAAGAGGTCAGAGGGCATTAAATCCATACAGTTGCACTGTGGTTTTACCCCCCTCCCCCCCAACCATCCAACTGAACAGGCAGCTCAGCACTGTAGACATGCCATGGTAAAAATTAGACAGTATGTCACTGTCAAGGTTCTTGTATGGCCAGCTTGAATTTCCTTTTTTTTTTTTCTTTTTTTTAAATGGAATAATTCCCTAAACTGCCTGCAAACCCATGGACCCATGCTGCAACTGTCCCGCAATTGTGTGCAATCCATCATTTAGGGGGTAGAAACAGGCGGTAAGGAGATGACATATCACCTCCTTTCCACCTGTCAAATGCTTCTAAAAAGTGATCCAAGTATGGATTGCTTTTCAATGGAGTAACAGTCCTTACAGCAAGTTTAAAGAGTCATTTAGCTGGCCATACACTGGCATGGATGGAGGAATCTGAAAGCTGAACCAAAAATGTAAAAGATTCCTCCATTCATACTACTATGCTATGGATTGACAAATCCATTGCTGGGTTTTTGTGGCAGCTATCAAAATACCTGAACAGCAGCTGCATTTGACTGGATGCAGCTGCTGTTTGTCCAACAATTTTCACAAACCTTTTTAAATTTTTGTCCCGTTTCACACGGGGCAGACCTGTCAGTGGATCCGTTTGCTCACCGAGGGATCTGTCTGCTGATCTCCACTGAGCAAGCGGATGACAGTGTCCGCAGCCTGCTGTCCTCTATAGGCGGTCGGATGGAAAATGGACCGATTGTTTCCATCTGACAGTCATTCAATTTGATGGACAGAAGGGGAAAGGATTCCCATCTGTCTCTTTTTGGATTGGATGTTGGCAGGTGTCCGTATGTCCATTTACACGCGCCAATCCATACAGGAGAATTATTATTATACAGGATTTATATAGCGAATGGAGGTTCTGATTGAGTCCGCCTCAAAAATGGGCAGGCGGACCTGATGGGAATGTCCGTGTGATAGGGGCCTTTCAATTGAAGGATGTTGGGTAGGAGGGGGATGATAGAACCACCCATGGGGCTAAATTTGCTCAGTTTAGGTCTAGCTGAAGCAAACCTACAAAAGCCACCATACAGTGTTTTTAAAGAGAACCTGTCTCCACAAAATATATTCTAAGCCAACATTCTGATTTCCTGGTATTTAGGGAGGAAGGGCCGAGGTCACAGTTTGAAGCCATTGACACAGGCGCCTCGGGGCCTGGTACCTGCGATAGAATGTCAGGAGCAGCACATGCATGATGGGGGTTGATTTGTGTGTGGGTGACGAGGGGGAGGGCGAGAATCAGCTGCTCTGTGTGTCATGGAGGGGGCGAGATGGAGGGACAGCTGCCCGGAATAAAGAAACAGTTCAAACAATGGAGTGATTGTGAGAGACAGACACACTGCGAGGGAGAACAGGGCCAGGGATGCAGCCACAATGGAGAAGGGGGAGTATGGAAAGGGCTAGCGTCAAATGAGGGAAAATAGAAAATTAAAAGATGACACAAATAAAGATCCGGGCAAGGAGCACGGAGTGGTGTGGGTCAAGAAAGGACAATGAGATATGAAAGGAAATAGGTTAACCGGACTTCTTCAATACAGAGCACAACTGAAGATGGCATACTGCACTAACCTACAGCAACCCTGATATCGGTTAGCGCCTATAGATGAAGCTACTTTCTGATTGGTTGCTATAGTTTACAGTGTTTTTCACATGGCTCTCTGCAAATTGTTTTGAATTGATCCCTATTTTCCTTTGCCACCTGGCCACATTATCCAGAATTACTTTATTGTAAGATTCAAGATCTCTTTTCTCATATAGTGACTGTGCTGCATACATGTGTTTAGACGCACCAGCAGCAGGGTTGCCACCTCATCCCTTTAAACCCGAACATATATTCATCACACAGGTTCTGTGGCTGATTAATGTGGTCATTAAACTCCCTAACCCTAGGTTCACACCTAAGCGTTTTCTGCAGAGTTTTGCGTTTTGTAGAAACACAGAACAGTACATTTAACATGTTTTCCTATGGGACAGGTTTACATCTGCGCATTTTCACACGCTGAGTTTTTTGGAAAGGGTCAGGGACTTTTTTTAACACATAATGTTGCATTTTTCTATAGTTCTATAGACTTCAATGGAAATGCTGCAGAAAAGCGTGTAGTGCATTTTTGCTAGATTTTTGATGCGTTTTGTGTTTTAAATCTGCCTAGCAAAAAAAAGTAACATTAAAAACAGCGGCAAAAACGCAAAATACAATGCAGAAACGGATCAAACGCAAACTGCATAGGTGTGAACCTAGCCTTAATGTTGAGAATTAGACCAGGGAGATTTTGCTATTAGAATATGCAAAACAAAAGCTGGCCATAGACAGAGCAAAATTTGTCCAGTTCTGCAGGGGCAAGCCATATTTAGATCAATGCGTGCCATTGCTGTTCGACAAAAGATGATCCTTAGGGCCCTTTCACACAGGCCATCCAATCAGGTCCGTCTGTCAATTTTTCAGGTGGGTGTAAAAAAAAAAAAAAAAAAAAAAAAAAACCCAGCAAAAACGCAATGCAGAAACAGTTCAAACGCAACCTGCATAGGTGTGAACTTAGCCTTATGCAGGCCATAGATGGGGAGAAAACCGGCTGATTTTTCTTTAAAAAAAATGAAAAAAATCGGTCAATCGGCCAACGTTACCAGGAACGGTAAAAAAAAAAAAAAAAATCGGCCGATTTTCATCCCATCTACAGCCAAAAGTGTCCCTGCAGAGAGCTCCCCTATTTCTTTGACAGTTCTTTGACATTTATAGCGGCTGCAACATTGTATCTATTTGTATCCATTTCGGATACAGATGTTTTTATTCGGAAACAATACATATATTGTTGCAGCCGCTATAAATGTCAAAGATCTGTCAAAGAAATAGCGGAGCTCTCTGCAGGGACACTTTTTGCTGGACTGGAATTCTTCTTCATCCTCTTCTTCTTCTTCTTTTTGTCTTCCTCTTGCAGGTCACTGCTCATGCGCAGATTTTTTATCAGTAAAAAGATCGGCTGATTTGCCCATCATTGCCGCGAAAATTGGCCGATCGGCAAAATCGGCCGATTTTTTTTCAAACTTTACCGATAAAAAAAATCTGCCAAAATACCAAAAAATGGCCGACCTATTACCCCACTGACGATCCGAAAATCGGCCGATCTATCTATCGACCCATCTATGGCCTGCATTAGTGCCTTATCTGCATTAAATTAGCCCCAAAAATCTGTGTAATGAATATGTGTTCAGGATTAAAGGGATGAGGTGGCAACCCTTACCAGCAGCAGGTCCTAACAGGCTTTGGTCAATACCTGTTAACCCTATAGACTCCAAATTCTAAATGAAAAAAAACACAAAAATGTGCATAACCGCACAGCAAAACACAAGGCCACTCGCAAAAGAAATGCACATTGACATATAACAATGAACACCTACTTAGCTCTACAAAATACACTTCTATGGACATGCAAAGAGCTAAATAGACCCTGAAAGTGATTTTTGGTCTGCTGAATAACCCTCGCATCAAGGCACCACAACCGAGTGCATTTTAACTGATAGTGGAGTGTCCCCATTCAGTACAACAGGTCGCATTCGACTGTTTGCTAAACGGATCATTTTTGCTGTGCCATGATGCAAAGCAGCACAGCAATGGCATATGTACTAGGGTTGCCACCTCATCCCTTTAAAACCAAAAACATATTAATTGCACAGCTTCTGTGGCTGATTAAGGTGGTAATTAAACTCACTAAGGCTAGGTTCACACCTATACAGTCTGTGTTTGATCTGTTTTTGCAGTGCTTTTTGTGGTATGTTTTCACACATGCATTTTGATGTATTTTTGCTGTGTTTTTGATGCGTTTTGCTTTTTTTTTTTTCCCCTTCTTGCTAGGCATATTAAATGCAAAATGCATCAAAAACACCTTATCTGTGATGGATTAGCCTCAGAACCTGTGTAATTAATATGTGTTCGGTTTTAAAGGGATGAGGCGGCAACCCTAATATGTACACCCCTTCCATTACAGCTTAAGCAGGAGCAGATGGGGGTGGTAAAACATGTGGTTGACCCCAACCACAAGTGTAAGGCCCCATTCACACCTTGCGTATTTGAAACACATGTTTTTTAATGCTTTATTTGTGCTTTTCTTGTGTGACATGCATAAGGCAGTCCATTGATTATAATGGGCAGGTTGAATGAAAAAAAAAATTGATCTGGATGGGGGAATCCGTTCTACTGAGCTATTGTGTTCTGACACTGGGGAGTCTTCCCCGCTATCAGAATACACTGATCAATGCTGATGGCTACAGCTGGCGGCATTGGACGATTGGGGAGAACCCCGCAGGGTGGTTGTACAGAAGTCGATCAGTAAGAGAGTCCCTGCTGGACCAGCCAAGTTGTGATCCATGTACGGCTGCCATACGTTTGGAGTTCACACTTTGACAGTTGTCTGTAGTTAACGAATACAATGTGTGGCTAAAGGGTGAGGTAGAACTCTGAATGGCAACATTTGCCTGCTGCTGAAACAAAAGCCCAGCCCCGGCCTCATAAGAATTCATTCATGCAGCTGCTTCCATATAAGCACACCTGCACATACATTGCTCATTCTAGAGATAAGTGATCCCAACTGGGAAAGCAGGTGTCAGTACTCACTAAGCCAGGGCTTAAAATGTCAAGTCCTGAGCTACTAGCCAGGCCTTAGAGTAAGGCTGGCCATACACTATACAATTTTCTGTCCAATTTATTGAAATTTCCTTTAGATTTACCTTCAACTGTGTAGTGCAAGGGCCTGCCTAATTGGATACAACTGAAAGTGTTGTTTGGGTTTGACCTCCTATTATATGGTTTTTGGTAAATCTAAACCAAAAATCTCAAGAAAATTGTATCATGTATGGCCAGCCTTACTCGCCACCAACAAACACACACAGAGACATCTGTACACACACACAGACATGTACATACACACACAGAAACATGTACACACACACACAGAGACACATGTACACATCAGGGGCGGACTGACAACTCATGGGGCCCCCGGGCAATAGGGGATCATGGGGCCCCTGTGTCCTTGCCCACATTCAAAAAAGCCTATAAAAAAGGTACCAGGGGCATTTCATGGGGCCCCCTACTGACCCTGGGCCCTCGGGCAGTGCCAGAGTGCTCGAATGGTCAGTCCACCCCTGGTACACATACAGACAGATGTATACACACACAGGCACGTACAGACACGCATACACACAGATACATGTACATACACAGAAATAAACATGCACAGACACATGTACATACATACACAGACACATGTACACACAGACACATGTACGTACATACACACAGACACATGTACACACACATACATGTATATACACGCAGACACATGTACAGATACACACATGTACATACACACAGACACATGTACAATTGTACATGCATACACAGACACACACAAACACACATGTACACCCCCCCCCATAAAACGTTGCAGTACTTCGTTGTTCACTCACAGATCTGGGTACTGCACTCTAGGGGGAGGCAGAGAGCACAGCACACACTCCTTGCTTTGCTTTCACTGCGCTCAGCTATCGAGCAGTCTGACGGCTCCCAGTGCCAATGACAGATCCGGCCTGAGCTCCGAGCCTGCTCAGCAAGACAGCCCTGGGGGGCACACTCGCCCCTACCATAATTTCCACTCGCCATTGGCAAGCAGGCGAGTGGAAATTTCAAGCCCTGCACTAAGCCATACATTATACAAGTTTCTTTTAGATTTACCAAAACCATATAATATGAGGTCAAACCTAAACACTTTCCATTTGTATGCAATCAGCCAGGCCCTTGCACTACATAGTTGAAGGTAAATCCAAAGGAAATTGAACAAGAAAATGGTATAATGTATGGCCAACTTAAAGCAGGCCATGGGTTGAATTCTGAACGATATTTCAAAAATTGTAAACATTGTTCATTCTGTAATACGATGGTGCCACCAATGATTTTGAAAATCGGACGTTTTTCATGAATTTTCCAGCATGCCCGACAAACAAAATGGGGAGAAACCACGAAAATCGTCCGATGCCCTTGCCCCACTAACAGAGCGAAAATTGGCCGATTATTCTTAGGTCTGATTTTCGAATGAAAATTATTTGAAAATCGACCCATGTATGGCCAGCCTAAGGCTACTTTCACACTGAGGAGTTTTTGAAGCGACTGAAGAGCTCAAGAAAAATGTATGTCTGTGTATGTTTTCACACTGGGGCGTTGCGCTTCCATTGCAGTGTAAAAACTCTCGCTTGTTGCATTTCTGAAGCATGTTTGTTTAGTTGAAAAAAAAAAGCCCCAAAAACTCCTCTTCCCATTGAAATCAATGGAAAATGCATGAAAAGCGCCTCATAAAGGCCTCTGAGAAGCATTTTTGGTGCAGTTTTTAAGTCAAGTGTCCTTTAAAAACACCCAGAAAGTAGAGTTGCCACGTCATCCCTTTAAACCCGAACTCATATTAATGATACAGGTTCTGTGGCTGATTAAGATGGTAATTAAACTCACTTTGCGCCTTATCTGCATTAAATTAGTCGCTGAACTTGTGTGGTCAATATATGTTTGGGTTTAAAGGAATGAGGTGGCAACCCTATCAGAAAGCATAGAAAAAGCGAAGTAAAAGCGCCTATGCGTTTTTGCTGTGTTTTTGTGGCAGATCAGTGTGAACATAGCTTTAGATGGCTTTCACACTGATCTGTTTTTCTTCCACTTTTGCATTTAAAAAAGCAGAAGAAAAATGTGTGGCCATGTATTTCTAAGGAACTGAATCTGTCGTGGGTCAGGTGCGTTTTTTAAAATGCTGCTTGCTGCATATTTTGCACTAAGCACCGCACCAAAAAGACACCTCCACAAAAACGCAGCAAAAACGCAACAAAAATGCATATGCGGGACATTTATGGTGCGTTTTTTGAGTCACGTTCTGTAAAAAGTGTGGTAAACATGCATATGTATTTTTGCTAGGATCAGTGTGAAAGTTGCCCAACACTTGATTAGACAAAGTTAAAAGCCCCCAAAGGCTTCTTTCACACTGATTAGTTTTTCTTCCATTTAAAAAAAGCAGAAGAAAAACGTGTAACAATGTAGTCCTATGAAACTCTTCACACTGATCTGTTGCGGGTCAGGTGGATTATTTTAAAATCCTGCTTGCTGCATTTTTGGTACAGGTTTGGTGCGATACAAAAAAAGGCACCAAAAATGCACCTACCCATTGAAATAAATGGAAAGCAAACACCCGCGGTGCATTTTTGGTGCTTTTTTGAGTCACATGTCCTGTAAAAAACATGTTAGGATCAGTGTGAAAATAGCCTAACAGCGGTGACCTGTGTTTTTCCCACCGGGTAAAGGCAAGTCCCGTAGAGAACAATTGTTTTCTATGTGCCCCGTTCACACCACTGTACAGTGTGGGAACCTGTGGAAAAATGCAGCAAGTCTACAATTTTCTGCAATGTGCTGGATGGCACTACATGTCACTGCCCTGTTGTGCTGTGACATGAATGAAGTGTCACTACATGAAACTTCAAATATGATTAACCGCTTCCGCGCCGCCCTATAGCAGAACTACTGCTACAGGGTGGCATGTGTGTGCAAAATCACACATATATATATATATATATATATATATATATATATGTGTGTGTGTGTGTGTGTGTGATTTTGCAGTTCTGGGTAGGGGACGAACACGCCCTACCAGCGCCGCCATGCGCGCCCTACCAGTGCCGCCATTTGTGGCCTCGGCTGTCAATCACCGGGTCCCGGCCGGTGATTCCTCGCCACCACCCAACAATTTCCAAGGACGGGGAAGAGACCTGTATGTATATAATGCAGATCTCTCCCCTGTCAGCTCCTGCACACTGCTTTGTATGGCTCTGCATAGCAGAGCCATACAAAGCAGTGTGCTTACAGTGAAATAGACACACAGCACACATAGTAAAACAGCACACAGCAAACCCTTTGATCAAACCAGATGTTAAACCCTTCCTGCCCAGTGCCATTAGTACAGTTTCAGTGTTTTTTATTAGCACTGATCACGGCATTGGTGTCACTGGGGATGTCAGTGACACCAAGTCAGTTCCCTCCATTATCAGAAAGCCCGCCGTAGTCCCGCTATAAGTCACTGATCACCACCATTACTAACAAAAAAAATTCCAGTATATATACCGCCATTTGTAAATGCTATACCTTTCATGTAAACCAATTAATTTATACATATTGGGATTTTTTTTAGCAAAGACATGGAGCAGAATACATTTTGGCTTAAATTTGTGCTAAATTTTTTTCCATTTTTTTACTGGGCATGTTTAATAGCAAAACGTCAAAGATATTTTTTTCTCAAAATTGTCGGTCCTTTTTTTTTTTTTATAGCTTAAAAAATGAAAAAGGCACAGGTGATCAAATATCACCAAAAGAAAGCTCTATTTGTGGGGAAAAAGGGCGTAAAATGCATTTGGGTGCAGCGTTGCATGACCGCGCAATTGTCAGTTAAAGTAACACAGCGCCATATCGCAAAAAATAGCTTGGTCAGGAAGGTGGTAAATCCTCTGGAGGGCAAGTGGTTAAAATTTAAAAAAAAAAAAAAGTAAGTGGTGCAATGCTCTGAAACATCACACTGCTCTCTGATGCAGGCGGCACTGTCACTAGCCCTCACAGTAAAATGCTGTATTTTAGGTCCTGTTCACATCTTTCTGTTTCTGCTGTCATGCATTTAGTCCTCATGCACACAGGATGTTTTGATGACGCTTGTAACATTAGCTGTGTAAAGTCACGTTAAGCAGTTTTAGCGTTTTTGCATTAGTGTATAGCGGCATTTTCCCATGTTTGCAGTTTTTAGCGTTTTTTTTTGTAAAAAAAATTTCCGGAAACGCCGGTTTGTGGCGTTTTAAAAAAAAAAAAAAACGTTTTTCAGCGTTAGAGCGTTTTTACAGCTAACAAACTCCTCTAGAAACCCACTAGTTCTGGGTTTTTTTCCAGCCAAAAAATGTTGATTCCAGTCTATGTGTTCATGGACACATAGGATAACATGCTGGGGGTTTACTAGCTGTAGAAAAAAACATCAAAAGCCAAAAACAGCCGCTGTAAAAACATCAACTGTGCATGAGAACTTAAAGTGTTTGTTTTTTTGTGCATTTTACATGCATTTTCATGTGCTGTGCATTTTTGTTGTTCGCCAATGAGTATTCTTTTACTGTAGTGACATCATGAGGAAATGTGCTGCCTGGTGTTCTGTGTATGAAGCTAAGGAAGGATGGCTGATTTTGCACCCCGTTTGCAGCTGTCACAGCAAATGTCACTGTCTTCATTGTGGCTGAGCACATGGCAAGAGAACAAAAAGTTGAAAATGCAGATAAATGAACACAGAATGCCTAATTTTTACAACACAGCGCCCAGATGTGAATGTCCTCAGTGTATTTTACTGACACATGCATTTTTGTGCTCTGCAAAATGTACATACGAATGCAAAGGTGTGAAGCAGGCCTTACCATGAGGGCTAGTTTGAGCACAGTCTAAAACAGCAACTCCACCTTTGGTTGAGAAAAAAAAAACATTCCCCTCTGGGTGATCTATGTACATTGAGGGGTTTTATCAAACTTTTTGCAGATTCCAACTTTTTGTTATTCTGAAGAAATAGCTGATTGTCTGTGTCTGTGCAAACTGAATGTGTATGGGAGTGATTTTATAATTATTGCTTTGCATTTTACAGAAATTTACAGCGCTGGCAATTGTAAAGGAAAGGTCATTTTTGTAATATTCAATTAAAATATGAATATTATTGCAATTGTATATACTATATTACTTTTTTTTATTCTCCCATGGAAGTGGCGTTACCCTTTTAAGCATGTGGGTTGAACAAAAAAAACCTCACAGACCCCCTCATCAGATAAGTGTTGTTAATGCGGGGATCTCTCCCGCTGGTTCTATTGTATTCTGACAGGGTGAAATCTCCCCCCTGCCAAAATACACAGATCAGCATTGCAGGCATTGGCTGCATGTGCTGATCAAATTATGGTTTTCCAGCAGAATCATTTAACACACATACTGGAATTCAGCTGTTTCCTGCTAAACCATCCGATTTTCGATTTTTAGTACATGTATACCCTGCTTTTGGCCCTGTTCACATGGGCCAGATCCGGTTCTGCTCAGCAGGGGATCCGTCCAACGATCCCCTGCTGAGCTGAGTGGAGCTGAGGAAAGACAAG